ATTACAACAGCTACAACACTGCTGAAAATAACATCGGATTGGCATCAATGTTCCGACCATCCGGCTAGAAAGTTTTGGTTTAAAACGCAGACAACACCAGTGGGACCAACAGTGTAACCCTCGGTGCCAGTAAGCTTTCGTTAGTTTTCCCTCGAAGGTTCCAGTTGATAGGATTTCGGCACTCCGCCAATAGTGACAGTTCAGTTCAAATCTCATCCCACATAAGTAATTTATGTATACACTTCCCATAAATAACTTTCAACTTATTTCGCCCAGTGCAGTTTTGAAAAAAAAAAACGGAGACAAAACAAAAATTAGTACTTTAGAGACGTTAAGTGTGTTCGGTACTTTATTACCGATGAGTTGCGTCTTCTCTTTCGGCTTGTTTTAAGAACTCTATTTTTATCGCGCATGTTTTAAAAAGTAGGTTTCTATAATAAATAACGGGTAAAAATTTTCCTTTGAATTTTGCTAGCAGTGTTTCACATGAGCACTCATTAAAACAAAATTTTCTAGAAGTATATTGTTCGATATCATCGTGTTCCATCAAAAATTTGCGAGCAGTAGAGCAGGGATGAACCAACAACAAACCAAATTCCATCACAAAAATCTTCCGGAACAAGTTAATATAAAACTTTTGCCCAAAGTGTCAAGATCCAGGGAAAAGCCGGTGGTGGAAGCCTCCATATTTTCCCAAAAAAATAAATAAATAAATAAAAAATTTTTCACGAATGTGGCACTTAAGCCGCTTCCTTGTCAGAAGTGAGCACATTTTTCAACTTTATTTATTCTATTAGAAGACTCCGGTCATTAAAACTCGAAAAAAAATAAATAAAAAATAAAAATAAATAAAAAAATAGACAAATAATTAAATAAATAATGAAATAAAGCTTATTCTTCAATTTAGAAAACCAAAAAATCTCTAAACTTTTGCGTAAAAATACCACTGTCCATTAAAACTGCCAGTGAGTGTACATCATGTCTACAATTTTCACTAATTTTCTCACCTCTTAGTTTTGAAAAAAACTAAAAAGAGCAGCATTTTTTGAGCATTTAAAAATACAAATTGTCAACGCCTCCACCTAAATGTTTTCAAGTTCTATTTCTACCTACCAATAGATGCTTAATGCGCTTTCCTGCGTCTGAAAAAACTGATTACTGCTTTATGATTGCCGTTCTGTGGCCCTTGTCTCTATATGGTCTTAAAGTCATGCCATGAAACCAACTAATTAGAGGATGCACCTTGAGCCATCTGTATGTTGCCTATGCTTCTCTTACTTTAGGTAACACTGGTAACTTATTTCAGAGACACTATTAACATTTTGTTATATTAGTTGCCGTCATGAGTGACTTGTCACTCGTTTTAAAAAGTATAGAAGGGTTGAACTTCAATTATCCTGTCAAAAAATAAATAATTTCAATCTTCCAATTCTTGAACTTTTAGATCCTTTTGCGCTTAAAAAAACTAAACTTTTATCAGTGATTTTTTGTATCTTTCCCGTTTGGGTGTTCATCCACATATATCTAAATATCCTCAAAAAACTATCCCTTCATTGGACCACTAGCTTGCTTTTCTTAAATAAAGCTAGGTTTATAAAATTCTAAGTTTTCAAACGCCCTGAAACTGTAGATTTTTCAAAAGACACAAGAATCTTTTGACATTTTCGCCCTTAAGATTCTTAACCTACCTTTCACTATACTGTAAGGAATCTAATCGTTGAAATAGAAGCAAATCGATGCTCACTTTTCAGATCAACGGATAATAAAATAAATGATCACCGATACCTGTTATCAAAAAACAGTGTTTTGAGATTTTAAAGACCATTCTTGAAAACTCGTAACGATTAGTTTCTAAAAACTGAAGATTTTTTAGCGGCATCTATAATTCCTTCCACTTCTAACCTAATCTCTGACCTTTGAAGTGGAAGGAATTTGCGAGTGGTGAGATGTCGGTGTAACACTAAACAGCTTTGCTACCGTCTAATTTTCTCTACAGATTTCTTGAGCGTCAGTAAGAGCGTGCTTCAAACAAAGCTAGTGTTTTTGAAGACCTTATGAATCGTTTTTATCAATTATGGAGAAAAATGCACAATTTACACTAATTTACAAGACGAACCAATCTCTTCTTATAAGTTAATCTGTGACTATTAGGGTTATCACAAATAAAG